TCGGCTTGGCACGAGACGGAATGAGGGAGAGCGCCCGAGAGTTGGCACATTTATGTCAAGCTAGGACATGGCTCCCTCAACACAAGCTAATTACGGAGTCTTAAGTTTTGTATATAATATGTTAGAAGAAGAATAAAAGTATTATAAGATGTTAAACTAGTCTTGTCATCCAGAACTTGATTAAAGAACCAATACTGTCACATCCCGAAGAGCTACCAATTTGTCAGAATTTTCAAAGAAAAAATTGACAAATTTTATAGTGTAATATCAGTATCTTATCAAATAAAGCAACCGAACAGTTTTCCAATATGCGCGAATAAGCTTGTGCACGCCTTTGATCAAGGAGCTGTTATTGCTCTGCACGGACTATGCGTGAAACGGTTAGACGTGAAGTCTGAAATGGTTGGGTTGACATTTGAATGGTACAAATTTGAAGACACAAATAATAACTTGTCGGAAGATGAGAATAATTATATTTACGAGAATAAGTATATTTACATACGGCAAATTTGGCTTATTCGCTATATACACGTGGATATTTAAATTGGGGCCTACCTGTTCGATATTTATAAATGACGACATTGCATTTTGTGCGATAGATTAAGGTCAATATTTTTATTTTATTAAATGCAACTTTGTAAGTAGCGTGACTATATGGTACGCAGTATAAACGCCAAGTATAGTCGTAAGAATAGAAGACGTCTCGAAAAATGATTATGTGTCATATCTGGCGTATGTGCTTCTTTGATATGTTACATCATGGGACAATTCTGTAATTGCATAAAAGCGGCTATTATAAATTACAAGTTCTGGAATAAGGATCGTTGGATTGTATGCGATGTAAATTTAGTTAATTCAAATTGGGCGCTGACTGCTGGGTATTTATAAATGACAACATTACATTCGCCTTTCCGTATATGATAGATTAAGGTCCGTATTTTTATTTCATTAAATTCAACTTTATATATATGGTACGCAATACAAAAGACACATAAGAGAAACATAGATCATAGCGAGCACACACACCTGTCAAAAGACCTGTCTTTAATTATACAAAGACCTGCGTAAAACACACGGTCGAATGATAAATCGCATGGTAAAACAGTTTTACTTCCCAAATTTTGATTTAACACGTACGTGTCAGATAAAGCCTGTTGGTCCTTGATTATACTCCTTTTGATGCAGTTATTGCAACTAACGAGAACACATGCCAATTTAAATTATACACAACACTAGGGACCGGGTCCGACTATGTTTCGACATCACAAACTATGCTTTCATTTTCTGCTATATCCGCTGTTGTGAAATTTGACAACGGGAAACGCGTTTTGCAAGCACTTCTGGGAGAAATCTAGGTATCATATTTTCCAAATTTATGCTGCTATTTTGGCTATAAGACATACTACTGTACTACACAAGACACTCATGACAGGTCTGCTTAATATAATGCTAATACAATGTATTTCTATCCAAATAATACATTTTTAATCAAAGACCATTTCACCTTAAGGTGACAGACATTTGCACGTCAGCATAATATATTTTACTAATCATTGTGTATGTATGATTTTTCGCGTGCGCACTCTCAATTTTTTGAGGGGATTCCGCGTGAAAATTAGAGCTCTCAGGGGGGCCCCGCTTATACGGATGGACTTATTGTTTAATGGGGGCCTGGGAGGAGACCGTCCTCCTAAACTCCCTGCCAGCACGCCCCTGTGCTATATAAACGAATGATATTTCGACATCACAAACTATGCTTTCATTTTCTGCCATGTAAACGAAGACACGTAATTTTGTAGGAATATTACTGACATAAATTTGAATACCTTACGGGAAATAAATATGACAAATAGCGAGGTGCACATATTTTTTGTATTCAGAAAACATGCTATATAACATAAAAATATTTGTAGTTGAAGTCAATAAGAGGAAATGGAGGCTTATTGATGTTATTTCCTGCAGCTGATATACGACTTCTTGCGACCTAATTCTTGCCTCTATTAACCCCAACTAAAAATGTCTGACGGGCAAAATTATAGAATCCCTGATGTTCATGTACTATGACTATGTGACATTATATGATTTTTTGTACAATCAGGGGCCATAATTCATGAAGTTATGGTCAGATACATGCCAATTTCAAAAGGAACCAGGACTTTTGGGAGATAGACCTATATTTCAAGTTTCGTTAAAATCAGATAAAAATTGTGACCTGTAGAGTGTCCACAAACAAAATGTACACGGATAAACGAACGGACGGATGGACAGATGCGAAGACAATATATGTCCACATGAAAAGTAGGCATATAAAAAACTTAGTTGTGCATCAGTATTTTTTTATGATTTATTAATGCCCCACACCCCCTTTATTTATATAATATTTTCTCCGATTATAATAGCTTTAAGTGATTTCTACGTATTGAGTCAAAATAACCAATCTTTGCTCTGAAAAAGGAGGCCAACAGTTATAAATGGGATTTAGACAAAAGGGAAGCATATTTATGCGTATATATTTATTTTTGGTATATACGGACACATATTTAATAAGCCATGACTTAAAATACATGTAATAAATAATGTTCATACTGTATTAACAGACCTTTAACAAATAAATCATGCTATAACATTATTCTAAACCCGTATCCATAAATAACAATTTATTTTTCGTCTGTTTTTCATCAAGTAATTAGATTTCGAAGTGCTCACAATTAAGCAGAATTAACAGTAAAACAAAATCACAAATTACTTCAGCTTATTATGAAAATTGTTTCAAATAAAGCGAATGAATTAACAAAAGAAATTTAAGTTGTTTTAGAGAGAAAGGCGCCCTAGAGTGGACACCAAAGTGATTTCCAAAGGTGACTACATGCTTTTATAAATAGAACAAGCTAGTCAAGGTTGGGACACATAGCCATGCCCAGTACGTGCTCTCGACTGACAATAGTCAAATATTTTCATGTGGGCATATAAAAAAAAAGGTTGCGGTGTGTGTGCACCCCTCTGTATCCACCTCTGATATTAGGATCAGCATGTTGTAGATAATATCGTAAACAGTGTAAATCCTGAGAAACGTTTTTATATGCCCACATGGATTCTAAAGACAAAAGTTATCATCCGATCTGAACCAAATTTATATGCATCACATATACTGAGCGCCATGGAAAACGCATCACTTAGTTTTTCGTATAACAAAATGATCCTGTAAACATATCTTATTTATTTTGCTTCTTATTGTGAACAATATTCAAATGGGAACACATCAATAACAACACATTTGTACACTTATGGATGTTTAATCTTTAATCAAGGGTACAAAGTCAGAGGGGTCAAAACCAAAAGTACGACACAGATGTCAGTAGCGCGTGTGTCCTCCACGGGCCATCATCACGGTAGGCTACAGCATTAACGCGACCCCTGCAAATGTGTAGGGCGGTCCGGTGATGAAATGTGAAGCCTCCCCACACCATTACACTTCCCCCATCCCATCGTTTCGTTTCGAAGACGCAGCAGTCTGCAAGACGTTCCCCAAGACGTCTCCACACACGTTTACGGCCATCAGCGTGATAAAGATAAAAGCGACTCTCATCACTGAAGAGCACACTTTGCCAGTCTACTCTTCTCCATGTCTGGTGTCCTTGAGCCCATATCAAATGCTGCTGACGGTGATGATTCCTGAAGATAGCTCCAACATAAGGTCGTCGTGCATGGAGTCCTACTTCTCTTAGACGCATCTTACGGTGTTGGCACTTACTGGTCCTTGTCTTCCGACGACTGCTGCACCTGTTCGAGTCGCTGGGCGGAATCTGTCACGCAGGTGAGTGACTCAGATGTAGCGGTCTTGAGCCTGGGTTGTAACGCGTTGTGGACCAGGACGTTGACGGTCACGTGTTGATCCAGTAACTCGAACACGTTCCACCAACCTTACAATAGTGGACTGATGACAGTTGAAGTGTCTGGCAATAGCACGTGTAGACATGCCAGCCCGGGACATTCCCATGGCTTCATTCCGTTGATTTTCAGTACGTCTCGGCATCTCTAGCTCGATTCCTTCACACGTCCAACAACAAATTGACGTTTCACAGTTCATGTACTGCACATTAAGTGGAAAACATGCTTTTAAAGGGCTCACACACAATGCTGCACGTGAATATTGGGTTTTTGATGTGCATCTCGTGCAATTTTTTTTCGTGCACACGGGCCGATATTTTTTGCATTTGGGAGCATTGTGTGAAACAATAGTTCATAGTATTGCATAATATTATACATACAAAACCACCTAGTAATAAAATATTTGGGAAAAAAAAGTGATGCGTTTTCCATGGCGCTCAGTATATATTAGTAAAATGAAGAAGCCTATTGAATTTCAGTAAATTCCATTAATTACATCTAGATTTATGGCCCTTGTTTCACATTGTCGCACCTTGTGAATGCTTTAACAACAAAATTCATCATTCAATGTGTGAAATTGATATGCATCATTTAGATTAGTAAAACGAGAAGCCTATCGAATTTAACAATTTCTGTTTATAACTTCTACAGTTATGGCCCTTGTTTAACCCTGTTGAATCTTATGAATGCTCGAATGACGAGTTATCATCAGACCTGTATGAAAATTTATATGCATCATTTAAATTAGTGAAACGAAGGAGCCGGTTGAATTTCAGCATTTTGTATTAATGACTTCTAGGGTTATGGACCCTGTTTCACCTTGCCAATAAAAAAGGGGGGATGGGCCTCCGTATTTGAATACCTTTAATAACCTTGTGAACCCTCAAACGATGAAAATTATAATCTGATCTCTATGAAATTGTCTTGTAAATTACTTACAAAAGAATAAATATGCGGCAACCCTTGTCGACCGCTGGGACAATTTAGTTGCTGTGGGCGTATGTTTTGTTGCCTGTAGTGCTCAAAGGTATATTTAAAAAAAAAAAAAAATTGCCAATAAAAAGAGGGGCGAGGGGGATGCTCCTCTGTATCCACTCCTGATATAAGAATACCTTTAATAAAGGATCAGCATGTTGCAGAAACCAACCAGCTACCGCATGACCAGCTTCATGATAAGCTACTGTTTTCTTCTCTTCCGGTTGTAAAACTTGCGTCTTTTTTTCCAATCCTTTAATATAACAACAGCTTCAATCAGCAAAAGGTTAAGAGTACTTGAGTGATGAATATTTTGCTCAGTAAAAACATAAATGCCTAAAAATTAAAACCTACACTGGCATCCAGTCTATATAAAAAATTTCTTGATATTTCTGTCTTTTGTTTTTACAGACAGACTGAATTAGCTGAAACTGATAACTTTGAGAGCAGATATTCAGAGTGAGAAGATAGGTCACATATTTTTACTTTTTTCGGTAATGAAACATTTATAATACATTAAAATCTGATTAAGAGTAACAACTCATTAAGTAATTATCAGAAAACCATTAGAATTTGTTTGGTTTTTATAAAGTTTTGCCCCATGCTAACATTTAGTATAGGAAACTTTTAACATCATAGATTTAGCTGTTCAGGTCATAAAAATTCATTGAAAATCAATATACTTGTTCGTCTCAAGACCTTAAACTCTGTGTATGAATCTGAAGTCAATCGAATGATAACTTTAGCTTCTAGAGAGTCACAAGATTTTTCAAAATGATCAAGGGCCATAACTTTGGCAGTAATTATCGGAAATCGTTGAAAATCAATATGGTTCTGCGTCTCATGACCTCAAATACTCTGTATCAATTTAAAGTCAATCGGATATTAACTTTGACCTCTAGACACTGAGAAGTAGCAAGAGTGAGATTTGTACGTTTAGGGCATAGATATCTCCCGATTTGGTAAATTTCTATGAATATCGGTAAAATTCTAATTATCGCAACAAGTCTAATACGAAGAGGCTAAAATCTGTAGGTACGGTGTGTTAATTAACAGGGGTGAGAAATTGACTGAGTGGTGATATAATTATCGCTAGGGGTGAAAATCTTGGCGACTGTGTGTTTTCTGTACCGGTGTGTTAATTAACTAACGGGTTAAAAACGACTGACACGGTGTGTATTCTTTGTTTGGTGAGTTTTCTCGAAAGCGTGTTATAACTGCACCAAAGGTGTTTTATCAAGGACCAACAGGCTTTATCTGACGCGTAGGTGTTAAATCCAATTTACCGTGCGATTTCTTGCTTCCGTGTGTTTTAAGCAGATCGGTCTTTGTTAAGTGTAGGTCTTTATACATGGATTTATACATGCTGTAGTTACATTTGTTCGTTCTTATACGTATTTCATTTCTTGGTGAATACTACGTGTTTTATACTTCGTACCATAGTCGAGCTGCAATTATTTATATATTTGTCTTTTTTGTGGGTTTAATTTGTTTATATATTATCGTGCGTACCACTGAAGTATAAATGCATGTTATTTACCGATATCCGGACCAACCTCCATTGATATCAGACTAACGAATCTGTTTCGAAAACCAAGTTTATACATATAAAATCGAGCAATTGATGAAAAACTATTGGTTTCGTCATGTCTATATTTACTACACGTGGGCGTTTTAATGCATAAATGTATTGTTTCTTACCTGGGTTGTAAAAAGGACTATCCAAGAAAAATTTAATTTCCACATATATATCAAATGATAATTCACATATCAAATAACACTAATGCAAATAGGGACATGCGCCGGCGGTGATATTGTCCATTGACCTTCGACTTAATATGGAAATAGAGCCTTTACAAGAACAGCTAAATTTAAACACTTGTTAATATTTCTATTGTTTACGATTGTATGAAATAGCTTTATTATTTTTCTCCCGGTACTAATAAACTACGGGTCGAGTGGATCCAATTTTTATTATGTGATTTATCAACGTGATGACAGATCGAGAGCACGGGCTCCATGTGTCTATTTATAAAAGCATGCAATCACCTTTGGGAATCAGCTTCCAGTCTAAAACGACTTTAAAATCTCTTTTGTTATTTCGGCCGCTTTATTTGAAAAGATTTTCATAATATGCCGTAGTAATTTGTCATTTTGTTTTTATTGTTAATTCTGTTTAATTGTGAACATTTCGAAATCTAAATATTTAATATTTATTCTTGGGTACGGGTTTAGAATAGTGTTATAGCATGATTTATTTGTTAAAGATCTGTTAATTCTGAAACAACAATTTATTGCTGTAGTAATCAATTTCAACATTTTCACTATACATGTATTGTAAAGTCATAGTTTTAAACTAAAATAGCTTCATTTACAATATTTCCGGCCATATATTATGCTAAATTGAGTCCCACGTCATAAAAGTCTTCAACTTTTAGAACCGTCCATAGCACACATTATGTCCAGAATTTGACGTTTTAACAGCTTAATTAATAAATTTGATAAAGAAAACTATTTCAGAACAACAATAATTTCTTATGTACCTTTGATGTAATTAATTGTTCTTTTGACAAATTACAGTTTTGAAATAGGATACACAACACATCTATATTAATTTGCAGGGTCATATTTTGAATTTTAATAAACCAAGGTTCATTCAAGAAAATTATTGTTGTGTTCTGATAAATTAAGTGTACCTGGGCCCTGTTTCTCGAAATCTTAACTAAGATAAAACACATTCACTAAAATTGTTGAGCTGGGGCAATAATTAATTTATTACCCCTAATAAAGTCTGGCAATTAACAGTTGTTATATAACATCTAGGTCAACAGTGATCCAAGTTGGTGTTCAGCGAAGCGTACTTCCTGCTCTGATGGCAGTTTGTGTTGTAATATTATGTGACTTGGAAATACGTTTAATAATTTAATAAATTCAAGAAGAAGAAGAAGAACAACCAAAGGCATCAAATTTTCGCATACATGTATTTTCAATACGACAATTTTTTTGTTTTGAAATATACTGTAGAAAAATAAATTAGTCCTCTAACTTAAGTACCACATGATAATAATGTAATAGTTAGTATTTCATTGTATTTAAATCTTATAATCCCTCTTGTTGTTTTCAAGTACCGTGAATGTATCGGAATCGAAATCCCAGATAGGATATAAATTTTGATATTATATGTAAGATATGCTTACAATTATACTCAGTTTTGATATTATTTGTAAGATATGCTTACAATTATACCCATACTCATCGATCACTTTAGAGAATTTTGGCGCTGGTAAATGTAGCAAATGGTGGACCACCTTATTCTCACTCGATAATCATCGCTATTTGATTCATTCTTGCATTTCCCATCAATGGTGATAGTACAATTTGAAATAATAATATCCGATTAGTCATGTTTGTATATTTTACAAGCCGTATGAAGCCACGGTTTAACTATCAAAATAATTCATTCTCTAAATAATTCATTCTCTTCGAAAAGAATTGACGGCCTTTTTGAATATTTCCTTCTAGCTCACTCTTAAATTCCACTTGTCGACCATGTTTCTTTTTGAATCGCCCTAATATTACACAAAATATCATTATGGGAGCAGAGCTGATACGCATAGAAGCGAATGCTTCGGCCCATATCAACTGCCAATTAAAGAAAAAATAAATAAAGCAGATAATTTATACGTTAAAATTTAATTAAAACGTTTAATATATGAAGGCATATGCATATCAATAATGTAATAATAAATAATGGTATTGCTTGTACCTTTGTCTTGTCTATTTTACTTGTGTGTTTGAACATTTCTCTGATTATAATATAATCGCTTGGGCTGTTTTGTTTTTTTTTCATTTGAGATACTAACCGAAATTTCTTATGAGAAACAAAATAAATTGTATACATGTTGATAAAATATCAAGCTTTATTCAAATGAGATGATAGAGAAGTAAAACATACATTTATGTCGTTGCAATAAGACCAACACTGAACAGACCACAGTATGTCATTCTTGAATTAAGTGTAACAGGTAAAAAGAGTCACACTCCATCCAACTACTTCAGGAAATCCATTAACAGTGTCGCCTTTCGGTCTGAGATCAAAGGGGGTCTGAGATCAAAGGGCAATATTTCGTGTGAAAAGCGTGCTCTCCTGATAGTATAAATTCTATAATAAGGATGAGACTGAATCCACTATTAAGTGATGTGTTTAAATTTAGCCGTTCTCGTAAAACCCATATTTCCATAGGTCGCGATCGTCATAGGTCGGAATTGTGTATGCAAAGACAAGCTTGTTACGCAAAGTGTGATGGAATCAGAGCATACCAGAAGATCGGAAATTATCGGAAATCGCTGAAAATCAATAGGCTTCTTCGTCTCATGACCTTAAACACTGTGTATAAATTTAAAGTCAATCGGATATTAACTTTAGCCTCTAGAGAGTCCACAAACAATTGTGGACGCCGGACGGATGGACGAATGGACGGGGGTGACAATAATATATGACCACATTTCAATGTAGGCATATAAAAAAGGGTATTTGGGACAGTCCTTTAATAAGTGAAGATCTTCAGTCTCAACCAGACAGTAACAAAGCCTTCATTAGCACATTATAAGTCCATTGATCCAACGAGTGTTATTTCTTTTGAAATGAAATGAAATGTGGTTTAATGTCCTTCTTTTTTGCCCCAAAGGGATAAAACCCTCAAGGAGAAAACCCACAAGGTTGCAAAGGCGACCCTACTTCTTGTCACATACAACCAGGGAAACGAAACCATGCCAGTTGACTCAATTACAGACCTTATGCAACGTGAACGCGCTAATCATTCTGCAATCCAACCCCTCAATTTTGCCCGGACAGTAGAGCCATGAACTACTCTTATTCCAACTGCCTGGGGTTCTTTTATGTGTACGCCAATGTGTTCATGTGACCTCAGTTTTCCGTCCCATCTGAACAACTCTACAACTTAAGAATGTGTTTGCGAAAGAACCATGCAGGGACCGGCACATGGTGGGTGACTGATTTTCACCATTTTTTTTTATGTATGATGGGTAACCCCTCCAAACCTCACTGCTACAATTTTAGATCAATCGAACCATTTTTAGAACGTAGAAAATAATTTGAAATTTTAAGACCGAAAAAAGTAAAAAAATCATCATTTTCAGGCCACTTTTCAATTATTTCGTACAACTAAACTACGGCGAGAAGATTAATGAAACTTTATAGCGTAGCAGATATGGTTAGTGAGTATATACATT